CCCCCCCTCCACGGGCCCTGCTCTGTGTGTGACAGGGTAGAGCCATAACCTCTCCATCAGCCCTGCCCCGAGTGTGACAGTGGTGGCGCCCCAACCCCCCTGATGGGCCCTGCTCTGTGAGTGACAGGGGGCAGCGCCCCAACCCCCTGATCGGCCCTGCTCTGTGCATGACAGGGGATGGCGCTGCAACCTCCCCATCGACCCTGCCTTGAGTGTGACAGGGGGCGGTGGCCCAACCCCCCAATCGGCCCTACCCTGAGCGTGACTGAGGGTGGCATTGCAACCTCCCGATCCGCCCTGCTCTGTGCATGACGGGGCGGCGCCCCAACTCCCCAATCGGCCCTGCTCTGAGCCTGACCAGGGGCTGCACTTAGGGATTGGGCCTGCCCTCTGCCACCCGGGAGCAGGCCTAAGCCAGCAGGTCGTTATCTCCCGAGGGGTCCCAGACTGGGAGAGGGCACAGGCCGGGCTGGGGGATCCCCCCCTCCCCCGCCCCCCGAGTGCACAAATTTTTGTGCACTGGGCCTCTAGTCCTATATAATAAAAGGCTAATATGCAAATAGACCAAGTGGCGGAACAACTGAACAACCAAACAACCAGTCGCTATGACATGCACTGACCACCAGGGGTGTGTGCACGGAACATGGCAGGCATCGGCCGCAGTGGGATGGTGGAGCAGGTGAGCAGGAGTGCCAGACCAAGGCGGGGCACCAGTCACTTTCACTCAGGCGAGCCTCTGGTAGTTACTGAAAATTCTTTGATCCCACACACCGCAGTTCCACCCAGTGATCACACCTGGATCACCCCTGAGGGTTTCTCCACTTCCCCCTGCTCCTGAGGGGCAACTGGGGCAGCAGCTGCCACTTGCACCTGCTGCTGGCGCCAGACCCAATTGTTACGTGCCGTCAGCAGGTGCAAGTAGGGCTGGCACTGTCAGTGTGTGGGAGTGGTGGGAGTGGGGCTGCCAGCAGACAGGGAACTGGGGGCCGCGGCGGGAGGGGCTGGGTGGGGGTACAGAGGATGGGCCAAGACCCGCCCCTGTGCCCACCGCAGCCTTGCAGCCACAGTTCCTTTCAAGGTGCACGAATTCATGCACTGGGCCCCTAGTGAAAAATAAAAGGGAATGAGAAGTAGGAGATACTTGACTCATGACTCATGTTTAAAGGGCAGGCCTGAGAGGGCGGAGGGACATCTCACTAGCTGCCATGGTTTTTAGTCTAGACTTCAGGTAAATTCTCAAGTACTCATTTAATCCTACAATTGTGTGATATTGAAATGTCATTCAAGAGAACCAAATGCAATTTCCTAAAACACAAAGTGAAGGTAGGTGTGGGTGTGGGTGTGGGTGTATGGGTGTGTGTGTGTGTGTGTGTTTTGATCAGTTCAACACTAGATGGCTCTAGTTACAAAACTTTTTAAAAGTCTAAAATCCTAGGCTATGACATTATTATGAGAACAGATGGATTCTAACTCACAGACTCAAATTCTGCTATCTTTCAGAGTCTTGTAGGCATTAAGAATAGCATCCAGCTTTTAGGTTTGAAATGCTATGGATCTCTAAAGAGCAGGCATAAATCTTAGAAGTCCTCATTCACAGAGTAAAGCAAGAAGCATCACAGACATAGACTGAAGCATGTAGATTTAATTTGCTCTGTAATGAATGATTCCACTCTGTGCTCTTATGGAACTATTACTTATTTTTCAAATTATTTTCATATACATTCATTTGGCCCTCTCAATAGTCAATGAGGTAGATAAGGGAGGGAGATGTTTTCCTCATTAAAGGCAACAACACTGAGACTCAGAGAAGAGGCAGAAGCACACTCAAGGTTACATAGCTCATAAGTGAGGCCATTAAGACTAGGTCCTTCAGGTGCCAGATTCAGGATCAAAGCTCTTTCTACAAAATAGACAAGGAGAGAGAATTGGGCTTTTGCCCTATGTAGTGTGTCTGATTTGGCCCTTTCATTCTTTAGAATGTTTCCCTCAAGTTAATTAAATACCCAAATCCAACCACCCAACATCAAAAATGAATTTTGAATTCCTAGGAAATTGGAAATAGTAAATAGTAAATAAGTCTTTTATTGAGTTAGGTAAGGAGGAGGATGGCTGGGAGGGACATTTCTTATACTTGCTCATCTCTGGCTTTGAATTGTATTTTAGTTTATTTTAAGCTTTATGTTTTACCTAAGCCAGCAATAATCAATGATTTTTAAAATATTTTATATATTTTATTTTATATATTTTTATTGATTTCAGAGAGGAAGGAAGATAGAGAGATAGAAACATCAATGATGAGAGAGAATCATTGATTGGCTGCCTCCTGCATGCCCCCTACTAGAGATTGAGCCTGCAACCAGAACATTTGCCTTGACCAGGAATCGAACCCTGACCTCCTGGTTCATAGGTTGATGTTCAACCACTGAGCCACACTGGCTGGGCTAAATATGACAGTTCTGCTGGGTGGAAAAGTCAGTCTGATATTAAAGCCAAATTTATTAAAATCCACAAACCAAATAATGCAAATGATTGATAACAGCTACCATTTAATGAGCACCTACTATGGATGTGATTACAGTCCACTTTGCAAACCTCTTCTTTTGTCCATTTTTTCTTGCTCTAATGCCACCACCTTAAACTTAACCACCAACACCTTCTCTCTAACTAGTCTATTATCTGCTTTGCCTCCCTCAAATACAAATCACTAACTCTTATTTAAATGCATAAAATATAATTCTAACTTAAGCATATTTTGATTTTATAAAAAGGAGTAAATAATATGTTATATGTCAATTATAACTCAATAAAAAAAAAAGGACAGGCATTGTCATCTTATGACAAGTTATTCTCAACTCTACAGCCAGAATACACACAAGCAGATCATGTGACTCACCTTCTTAAAACAGTGACTTCCTATTGCCCCAGGATAACACTGAAAACTATGAGTGGGCCTTCTCCACTTTCCCCTCTTTCCCTCTGCACCTCACAACTCAACTCCTCTACCAATTCATTAAGTGTGCCAAACTCACTCAAACTCCGGGAATCCACATGTGCTATTTCCATCTGCTGGAATGCCCACCCTCCCGTCCCTGACATCCCTGTCCTCAGTTGAAATATCTGGTTTTCTAGAAGACTTTTGTCAACACACCCCTGACCCCCGCCCCAGTTTCACGCTAGATTAGGTCCATGTGTCTTATGTTGGTTGGTTAGCTTCCTGTACTTCTTTGTAATACTTGTTACAACTAAGTTAATCATTGGGGGAAGTATCTGCTTAATACATATACCCTATATCTGGCTTGTCAACCACTAAATCCCTAAAGATTAACACAGTATTTTGCAAGCTTTTCAAATTGTTTTCCCTTCCTGGCCGGTGTGGCTCAGTGATTGAGCATCGACCTATGAAACAGGAGGTCAGGGTACTATTCTAGGTCAGGGCACATGCCCAGATTGCAGGCTCAACCCCTAGTGGAGGGCATGCAGGAGACAGAGGATCAATGATTCTTTGTCGTCATTGATGTTTCTATCTCTTCTTCTCTTATATATTTTAAAGAATAAATAAGTAAATAAATGAATAAAATGATGCTCCCCAATCAATAAAATAAAATTTACAACCAGTACACACATACAGGTAACTGAAATAGAGGTTTCATGAACACTTCATACACTTTCTAGATGCAGTTCACTTGACATGTTCTATTCTGTTCTGGTTTTAATATGTTGTACACCAGAGCTCTTCCCAGCGAATTTAGAATGTAGACTTTATATCTTTAAAAGTAACATATCTCTGTTCTTTAAGAAACAGTTACTACTAGGATTCAAGCTATCAACAATGGCCTTGGCTCTTATATAATCCAGTACATAACTGATTATTATGCTTTCACAGTTGCTCATTCTCTTAAAATCTGAATGAGCAACTTGTATAAAAAGCAGGCTTGTCCAACCTGATCGAACTCTATTTGCTTGGTTATGTAAATGCTTTTGTGTATTTTAGTTTTGTAAGCTACCATCTAGCTACATACTTGACCTAAAAATTCACACTTTACTCCATGTAATACAGTGATATAAAAAGTGTGAAAAATAACATTCTCCTAAATTCCCTTAACCTTAATATCATTTTGGCATAAGCAGAACACTGGGAACTAAAGTAAGAAAAAAAGCTTAGGTCGCCAAATTGCCATGAGTTCTACTTTGTAAATATATGTCACTGAGACAGCTTCAAAATATTATTCATATCAATGTGTTTAATGCAAAATTCATTTTCATTTTGTACACAAACGACAGCAGTAGTTTTGTAGATTCTGTTTGAGCTGTAGTGACCCAGTTATCTGGTCAAAGGGCTGCATGGATGCAAGAGACAGGGTGAGTTAAAGTTTAACTCCCAAGAATTGTAAACCAAACCCAAAGCCACTGAACCTTTGGAGTTTGATATGATGATTAGAGCATAACAGAGTGACACGTTGAATTCGCCATAATCAAGGAAACCTTTCCCGGGCGGGGATCTCTGAAATCACTCAGGTATGGTCCATGTGTTTCGCTTTTTCTATTTCAAATCTGTCAAATTGTACAGTGTGGATCAGTGGCAATGCAGTGAAAACAGCTTTTACCCTCTTCTACTATAGAGCTTAATTCAGGGATTTCTCTAGTTTTTTATACTATGAAGCAACCTGAAAACAAAAGAAAATATTGGGATGATCTTATCATCTCAGAATGAGATGGCGGCCATCTTTTGCGCTTGATTTAATCATTGTCTGAGGCTAAAAAATGTAGATTTAATACTCCGGGTTCAAGAGTGGGGCTAATGCTTCCGAAATGTTTATTTATCAATAGCCAGACAGCAGAGAGTTGTGGCTGACTATCTCTCCTGGTCCCAGGATCCTGGAAACAAAAATGTACTAAAAAGAAATAGTATTAATGTCACTGGCCAATTCTGAGTTCTCTGTACGGGTCATAATTCCTATCATACTTAAAGTCCATATATTCAGTTATCTCTTTTTTCTCCTTTTTCTTGTACCACCACAAAAAAACAAAAACAAACACCTTGATGAATTCTTGCTGTTTCCTCTGCCATTATTGGTTACAAAGGAATGCCTTAAGCTTTCACTTTTCATTTTAGCAAAAAAAAAAAAAACAGTTATAGAAAATGGCTGGGATTTTTTTTTTTATGTGTGTGTGTGTTTTAAGTATATTTTTGTTGATTTTAGAGAGGAAGGGAGAGAGAGATAGAAACATCAATGATGAGAGAGAATCATCAAACGGCTGCCTCTTGCACACCCCCTGCTGGGATCAAGCCCACAACCCAGGCATGTGCCCCTGACTGGATTGGAACCCGGACCCTTCAGTCCGCAGGCCGATGCCCTATTCACTGAGCCAAACTGGCCAGGGCGAAAATGTTCAGCTTTGAGAGTGTTAAATCTCAACCCTGTGATGGCTGGTTATTAGAGCCTTTCCTCTCAGGGTGGTTGGGGTACTTGTGCTGCAATGGATATATTTTCCCATGATCTTTTTGTTCACTCCAAAGAAAAGATGATTCACAACCAGAATAAGCTGGTATTTTATCTAAAAAATATATCTATCAGGGCCCTTGAAAATGTTCGGCTTTGAGAGTGTTAAATCTCAACCCTGTGATGGCTGGTTATTAGAGCCTTTCCTCTCAGGGTGGTTGGGGTACTTGTGCTGCAATGGATATATTTTCCCATGATCTTTTTGTTCACTCCAAAGAAAAGATGATTCACAACCAGAATAAGCTGGTATTTTATCTAAAAAATATATCTATCAGGGCCCTTATCAGTATTATCCCATTCCTACCAGAAATCTCTAAAAAAAAAACTCTGATTGAAATACTTTTGTTCCATGATTACCAAAGGAAGTTCCAAGGAGAATGGGTTTCAAGTTAAACAAGTTTATCTACTACAGAGCTTTTCTGTTGTGTGCTGTGTATCTCCCAGAAGATGAAGAACATGTTATCTGTGCAGGATTCGTGTTTTGCAAAATATACATTGGCAAATTCAACTCTAGTTATAATTTAGGGGCAACGCTATATTGGTCTGGTCTGAAACATGCTTTATCTATCGTATGTGCTGAGATGCATACCATAGGCCTGAAAATGAAAGTGATCTCACCTATTTGTCAAACCACGGAGGTGCCCCCTGCCAAATGCAGAGTAAGAGATAAATAACTTACAGGTTCATTGGAAAGAGCCATGGTTTCTGGAATCATGTTGATACTGCCCATCTGAGATAATTCTCACATTTTGCTGTTCCAATTTATTCTTCATCAAGTGTAAGGGCAGGGGAAATAGTCGGCAAGAAAAAAAAATTAGTTGTTAAAGGCAAATATAAAATGACATGATGGATAGAAAACCACTGAATATTCTGTTATTATTTCCAACCAATACCACATTGGTTTGATGTCATTTCAAATGCATTTCTTATACTATATTCAGTGGGCCCTAATAAATGTGGCTCAAAAAAAAAAGTGACTCTATTGTCAACTAAGTTGAGGAAACGGTGGCTACACAGGTCTTGTTCCTACATGAGAGTTTTGAGTAGGAATAATAATGACAGGCATGTATTAAGCACTCTATTGCAAAGTGCACTTCTTAGCACTTTCCATGCATGTCTTTCATGTTATTCTTAGAAAAGCTAAGTAAAATGGATACTATTATAACATTTTACAAGGGAGAACATTGAGGCTCTAACAGGCTTGACATCATCCGGTTTGGGAGTGGCAGAGCCAGGCTCCCCAGCCAGGTGCCTGACTCCAGAGCCCTAAGCAAGTAACCACTGTACTGTATTCATAATGACTGGGCATTTACACTTGTGTCAATATGTTCATTCATTGTAAATATCTAGGAGAGTAGGCAATGTTTGGTTTCCCAAGCTTAATTTACAACAGAACATCTTCCAGGAACACCTATAAATGTCTCTCAGGAATGATATTCCTCAGAACACAGATTAAGAAAGGACAAATCATTTTTATAGCCCATATCCAACATTCACGACAACAATTGATTAAATCATCACTGTTGAAATCATCACAATTAAAAAGGGACCTGACAGTCTAGCCATCTCCCATCACACGGGACCAAACCTATTTTCAAGACGTTCAAAATTAATTGTGGCAGAAACGCTGGCCTGTTTTCCTGGCAGAGCTGAGTTGGGATGCCTGTACCCAAACTCCCAAGTTTTACAGCCTGGGCCATAATATTAAACTTCTCTGGATCTCAGATTCCTCACCTACAAAACAGAGGTAAAATCCACCCCAGGGGATTTAGTGAAGATTAAATGAGATGATATAGCAAAGCAGATGGCACAGTTCCTAGCACACAAGGACTTCAGCAAACTCTCTTCCCTTTCCATCCCTCTATTTGTAACAACCTCCAGGAAAAATGTCCTAAAATTTTCTGAACCTACCCATTAGTTCCTCTTGTCAAAACATTGCTAATAAAAATTTAAAAGTTGATCTTTATGATACATAAATAATGAAGCTTTGATTGGCCACAAGTAGTAACTCTATTCCATTTATTAGAAGAGACAACCTATACTTTTACAAAACAAGAGAACAATATACTTTACAGAATGTTGCTCAAGAAAAGTCTTAGTTAACATCCCAATTCCCTATACACTGAAGCCCACAAGTCACCCTGTCACAGTGTGTGTTCATTTCATCACATAGTCAGTTGGTGTTAAAAATCTGTTTCAATAACTCATTTAAAATATTGCCATCTCTCAAAAAGCTGGGTAGTGCCCTGGGTACTATTGCACAATGGTTTTTCATTACCTTATGCGCCTCTAAATGACTCAATAAGTTCAAACAAGACGATATTGATTGACAGAGGATAAACACCATTTTATCTCACTCATGGAAACAGTAACCAGGCTCCTCTCAAGTGCAGTTCTATCCGTCTGAACTCCCCCTCTGCCCCCACCCCCCTCGGGAAAGCATCTGGGACAGGAGCTCACGGCCTCAGTGACACTCTGCATTCACAATCTCAGGCCCATCTGCTCCTGGCCCAGTGCCGTCCAATCCAGGCCGCTATTAACAAATGTTTTCTGCTCATTGGATCAGGAAAGCTCCCTTATCGTTTTATTCCATCAGACCCAATCCAACTAGGTTATCAGCATTTAACAACTAGTTAGAATTTTTTAATACAAAATTTTGTGTTGGGTATTTTTGATTGACCCAAAGCAAAAATCAAAATATTTTCTTTCATAAAAATGCTTGTCTTGACTAAAATGTGCTGGCATCTTGCGCTCTCTAGTCTGACTTTTTTAAAGGTACATAAACTAAGGGTGTTTTTTTTTCCCCTCATGCAAATATGTTTGTGTAAGTATATATATGTAGGTATTAAAGATCAGATGGAAAACATTTTTCAGTTTCTGCTTATTTCAATAGGGTTTGGTCCCTGATAATATTTAGAGGGAAGTAATGATAAGGATTAGGATAACTCCCTCTAGTTTGCAAGGTTATGTACAATGTTCTGCCCAGTCAATAACATAGCTAAAGAGAATTAGTACATTATGATTTGGCCAGAGGAAATGAGTAAGCAAACAAATCGGTTCACAATTCCATAAAATACCACTTTCAGTGATGTGGTAATGTCTTCTCTTCCCCCGGCAGTTAAAAAAATGATCACTGTTTTGGGATGTCCAATTGACTTACAGAACATCAGATTTACACAGCAGAATTAACTACAATAGTACCTTATTTCTGTAGAATATTCTAGTTTGCAAAGTATTTTACACAGAAGAATTTGTTTAGATTTTTTTAATGACAACGTTTTCCATAGTCAATTTAGTATGCCTAATTTCTCCAAGGGAATTGACTCCTTATTCATCATTCCACTGTACAAAGTTAGTTAACTAAAGGATGTTCTCACCTATAGTACATCAGCCGAGCTCTTTATGTAGCAAAGTGCTAATTATCTAGGGAACCTTCAACTACTGCTCTAGACATTAACCAAGTTGTTGATAAATTAAGAGATTAGATGAAACTCCGAAGAGAGGTCTTAAGGATCCATATGAAAGGTGAGCAGAAAACCAGTCCCATGCAGGTCTCAGAAGAAAACAACCCTAAGAAGGTTTAAGCCAGTACAGATGCCGTATCTAACATAGAGAAAGAAGTGAAGGAAACGAGGATTCTACAGTATCTCCTAAGAGAGCGGCAAAGTATTATGTATAAAGGCAATTGATGCTCACTCCTGTTAACTCCCCTTTAGTATTCTATCCAACCCTTCTATTAGGATTGTGTTTAGTGCTTATCTTTTCAGCTGGGGCCTTCTGCATGAAGCAAATTGGCTTATTAGATGTACTTAATGTCTCCAATTACTTGCAGTGGAAGTCAGAAATCAGAACCTGAGACCATGGAGGGGGAACTGTTGGCGCATATAAATGCTTATCTCAGCAATCCCCTTTCTTGAAGATCTATAACAGTGACTCACAACTCAGGCATCTACTCTGAACCAACTAGATTTGGCACCTACGATGATGATAACAATGGTGTTAATAATAGCTCTT